TAACAACAAAGATACACAGTAACAACAAAGATACTAACAACAAAGATACGCAGGAACAACAAAGATAATGCACTAACAACAAAGACACACACCAACAATAAAGATACCCAGTAACAATAAAGATACATACTAACAACAAAGTCATTGCTGAGGCACTGACAGCCAGCTGTGCGCACGCAAAGATACACACTAACAATAAAGATACACACTAAAAACAAAGATACACACTAACAATAAAGTCACCGGCTGGATTAGGACAGAATGGTCAGGTCAGCAACCGTGCTCCCAGTTCCTACTGACTCAAGAAGAGGCATAGAAATGTTTTAAGTAAAGGATCAAAAGCAATCAGTACAAACAAAGCAACTATTTGATGCTCTACCTTAGATACACCTAAAAGTTGCTTAAGTGCTATTTATACATTGCAAGGTATCTTCCCACTGAGTTCTCATGGAATCTCAACGGATGCTTTTCAGTCAAAAAACAGCTGCCACACAAATTATAAAATTACACACAAGAGTATTATCACTAACTCCAAAATATAATTTTTTTCTAACATATAATCCACAGAACCATTATGAATATTTTTGCCTTAAGAAAAAAATTTTCGGGCGGCGCCTATGGCTCAATGAGTGGGGCACCAACCCCATATACCGAGGGTAGCGGGTTCAAGGCTGGCCCCAGCCAAACTGCAACCAAAAACAGCTGGGTGTTGTAGTAGGCACCTGTAGTCCCAGCTACTTGGGAGGCTGAGGCAGGAGAATCGCCTAAGCCCAGGAGGTGGAGGTTGCTGTGAGCTGTGACTCCACGGCACCCTACCAAGAGCAATAAAGTGAGACTCTGTCTCTAAAAAAAAAAAAAAAAAACCCTTTCCCCCCATTAAAAAAAAAATTTTTTTGTATCTATGAAACACTTTCAAAGTTACAGAAAAGTTACAAAATAGTTTGAAGAACTTTTGTACAACATGTAAAAAGCTTTATAAACAACCTTATGGGAGACTAAGGTGGATAGGTTGCCTGAGCTCATGAGTTCAAGACCAGCCTGAGCAAGAACAGGACCCCCATCTCAACAACAATAGAAAAACTGAGGCAAGAGGATCACCTGAGCCCAAGAGTTGGAGGTTGCTATGAGCTATGATGACACCAGGGCCCTCTACACAGGGCAACATCTTGAGATTCTAGCTCCAAAAAAAAAAAAAAAACTCAAATAGCAACATAAAAAAAATTCAAAGACAAGAAAAAACCTGAAAATATTTATTTCCTACGTCTACACACACAGAGGAGAAAAATCATCACAGTGCAGCAGACATGAGTGAGGTCGTCCCCATGACACCACCGTCTCCTGGGGCTCAGGTCCTTGAATGTGTGCAGCCCCCCCACTCAAATGTGGGCACGACCTGTGACTTGCTTCTAACCAATACAATATGGCAAATGTGATACAATGTCACTTTTGTTCTTATGTTTTATGTAAATTTTAAAATTCTATCTTGTTGGTATTTATGCTAGACAGTCTTCACTGACTTTGAGGAAACAGGCTGTCATGTTTTAGTTTGTGGACATGTTGAAGAAAATGTGAGTGTACTCTAGGAATGGAGGGGGTCCCAATAAGAAACCAAAGTCCTCGCTTTGCAGATGCCAGGAAATTAACTCTGCCCACAACCTGAGGGAGCCTGGAATGGATGCTTCATAGACAGAATAATAAATCTGCAGCCCAACTAACACCTGGATTACAGCCTTTTAAGACTCTTAGCAGAATACCTCGCCAAGCTGTGCCCAGACTTCTCATTTAAACAAACTGCAAAGCTGGCACAGTAGTCCATGCCTGGAATCCCAACACTTTGTAAGGCCAAGCCAGGAGGATTTCCTGAGCTCAGGAGTTCAAGATCAGCCTGAACAAGAGCAAGACCCCCGTCTCTACTAAAAATAGAAAATCTAGCCAGGTCTCATGGTGAGCACCTGTAGTCCTCACAGGAGGCTGAGGCCCAAGGATCGCTTGAGCCCAAGAGTTTGAGGTAGCTGTAAGCTATGACAGTATGGTACTCTACTGAGGACAAAGAGTGACATTCTGTCTCAAGAAAAAAATTTTTAAATAAAAATCATATAAATTATTACAAAAAAGATAATGCATTAGAAATATCAGGGAAAGAAATGAACAAGCAATCCTGAAAAGAAATATACTGATTAATGAATATAAAAGATACTCAATATCACAAGTACTTAAGGAAATGCCTGATATTATTGAGTAATGGTGAGGGTAAGTAGAAACAAATATTCTGGTGTTAGTCTCCGTTAAAAGTGTCTACTTTAGGCTTGGCGCCTGTGACTCAAGTGGCTAAGGTGCCAGCCACATACACCTAAGGTGGTAGGCTCAAATCCAGCCTGGGCCCGCCAAACAACAATGGCTGCAACCAAAAAAAACAGCCAGGCGTCATGGCAGGCGCCAATGGTCCCAGCTACTTGGGAGGCTGAGGCAGGAGACTCGCTTGAGCCCAGGAGTTGGAGGTTGCTGTGAGCTGTACCGCCATGGCACTCTACCCAGGGGGATGGCTTGAGGCTCTGTCTCAAAAAAAAAACTATCTACTTTAGAGATTCCCTTTCTAGGAATCTACCTAAAAGAAATGTGCAGCGGAGGCACCTATGGCTCAGTGGGTCAGGCGCCAGCCCCATATACCGAGGGTGGAGAGTTCAAACCCGGCCCCAGCCAAACTGCAACAACAAAAAAATAGCCCAGAGTTGTGGTGGGCGCCTGTAGTCCCAGGTCCTTGGGAGGCTGAGGGAAGAGAATCGCCTATGCCCAGGAGTTGGAAGTTGCCATGAGCTGTGACACCACAGCACAGCACTCTACTGAGGGTGATAAAGTGAGACTGTCTCA